GATGTGTGTGAGAGTGCTGCAATGTGTGAGATTGCTGTGTATGATGTGTGTGAGAGTGCTATGATGTGTGTGAGAGTGCTATGATGTGTGTGAGAGTGATGTGTGAGAGTGCTGTGTGTGAGTGTTGTGTGTTATGTGTGTGAGTGCTGAGTGTGATAGTGCTGTGTATGAGTGTTGAGTGTGATAGTGCTGTGTATGATGTGTGTGAGTGCTGAGTGTGATGTGTGTGAGAGTGATGTGCCTGAGTGCTGTGTGTGAGAGTGTTGTGTGATGTGTGTGAGAGTGCTGAGTGTGAAAGTGCTGTGTGTGAAAGTGCTATGATGTGTGTGTGAGAGTGCTGCGATGTGTGAGATTGCTGTGTATGATGTGTGTGAGAGTGCTGTGTGTGAGAGTGCTATGATGTGTGTGAGAGTGCTATGATGTGTGTGAGAGTGCTGCGATGTGTGAGATTGCTGTGTATGATGTGTGTGAGAGTGCTGCGATGTGTGAGATTGCTGTGTATGATGTGTGTGAGAGTGCTGTGTGTGAGATTGCTGTGTATGATGTGTGTGAGAGTGCTATGATGTGTGTGAGAGTGCTATGATGTGTGTGAGAGTGCTATGATGTGTGAGAGTGCTGCGCTGTGTGTGAGAGTGCTGTGTGTGAGAGTGTTGTGTGTTGTGAGTGCTGGGTGTGATGTGTGTGAGAGTGCTGCGTGTGATGTGTGTGAGAGTGCTGAGTGTGAGAGTGCTATGATGTGTGTGAGAGTGCTGTGTGTGAAAGTGCTATGATGTGTGTGAAAGTGCTATGATGTGTGTGAGAGTGCTATGATGTGTGTGAGAGTGCTGCGTGTGATGTGTGTGAGAGTGCTGAGTGTGAGAGTGCTGTCTATGAGAGTGCTGAGTGTGAGAGTGCTGAGTGTGAGAGTGCTGGGTGTGAGAGTGCTGGGTGTGAGAGTGCTATGATGTGTGTGAGAGTGCTGTGTGTGAGAGTGCTGTGTGTGAGAGTGCTGGGTGTGATGTGTGTGAGAGTGTTGAGTGTGAGAGTGCTGTGTGTGAGAGTGCTGTGTGTGAGAGTGCTGTGTGTGAGAGTGCTGGGTGTGATGTGTGTGAGAGTGTTGTGTGAGTGCTGAGAATGCTGAGTGTGATAGTGCTGTGTATAAATGTTGTGTGTTGGGGGGTAAATAAACAAAAAAAAAACTAAGCAAAAAAAAAACTAAACCCCCCCCCTCCCTTCTTACCTTTAGCCTGGGAGGGGGGACATGCACGTGGTAGCTGGGAGGGGGGGCACCGGCACTCGCACACCATCCCTGGTGGTCCAGTGGTGAGTGAACTCTCTCGCGAGATCGGGGCGTTGCCATGGCAACGCTCCGGATCTCGCGAGAGAAACCCGGGGGAGCTGCAAGACAGAGTTCCGCCGGGTCCTCTCCCTCCCTCCCCAGCCGCAGGTCTATTTAAATGGGCCGGTGAGGGAGATCTTTGATCTCCCCATCGGCCCTCCATGGAAGACAGCGGGGCCGGCGCTCGGATAGCGCCGGCCCTGCATAGACCGGCAGGGGAGATCCTGGGACCTCCCCTGCCGGCCTCGGCCCCACGGCCACCGCGGCCCACCGGGCATTTGCCCGGTGTGCCCGATGGCCAGTCCGGGCCTGGTGACAGCTACATTCCTGTAGAACTTGCCTACTAAAGCCAACCTCAATTTGGACCTCTGCTGTTCCATCATGACAGAGCTACAAATACTACGAACAGAAATCCACAGCCAACACACTAAGGTGTCCCATCTGGAGGCAGATTGTGACAACCTCCTGGCTGCCCAAACCTCAATACTATACTACACCAGATGGCCCAGTTCCACAATATGGCTCTCCGTATTTAAGACTTGGACAATAGGGGGAGAATAAACAACATCAGGGTCCAGGGTCTGCCAGAGACCGGAGATTTAATGAACCATCTGTGCGTAACCCTTACAACATTGTTCAAATCAATGAGCTTCTTAACTGGGCCACAGAGGAAGACATAGATTTTGTGTGAGCCTTAAGGCATTATGCCCAACGGCCTCCAGAGAGTATACACTGGGATGTTATTTTCTCTCAAGAATTTAGTCCTGAAAGAAGAAATATTGTGCAGTGCATGCAACCTGACCCATGTCTCTTTCCAAAGGACCCCTCTGCAGTTGTTGCCCAATCACTACTCACAGACCTTTCCTAGTTAAAGACCCTTGAGATCTGGACACCCTTGCGCATGATTTGCACCTGCCACCTATCTCTATGCAATGCCTGGACCCACTGGCCTTATACTTGACTTAACCAGCACCTTCTCAACCACAGGCGCAATGTATTCGACATCTTCACATCAGGCCCCACACACAACCAGTTCCACTAAGTAGAAATCGTGTTTGGTTGATGAGGGTGGGAATCATTATGGGGCATGTCTGGTAACATAACACGGTCAAGGAAAACCTGCATGCATATTCCCCCATCTCCTGGAGGTCAAAATGTCAGTGAACCGCTCAATTTGAGCGTGAGTTATTGTGTGGTGTAGGGCCTGCAGTGGGGCTGTTGAGGGGCAGTCCATCTTGTGCACAAAGCCTATTAGGGCCTCGGATGTCTTTAGAATATGTCATTGCTGTAGGTGGCAGTGACCTGAAGGGCTAGGAAAGGGGAGAAGCAAGGCTCTGTTTGCAACCCATAGAGGGTGGTAGTCAGTACAATATGCAAATAAACAACAATGCACATGAACAAAAGAAAAACACATTTGTATGGTTCCCCCTAAATTCCCCTCCGCATAACTTTCTATTAATGTGCTTTGATACAGCACTTTGGGAACACCCAACTTCCTTCACGATTACCTTTTGAGGCTTTCCCTCCTTATGGAGGGTGTCAGTGATGGTTTTCTGCACAACTGTCAGGTCAGCAGTCTTCCCCATGAGTGTGATTTCTTCTGAGCCAGACTGAGAGACCATTTAAAGGCTCAGAAACCCTTTGTAGGTGTTATGGCTTACTTAGCTGATTAGAGCGGGACAATGTGAGCTAATTTACTGAGATTGTGGATTTGGGGTTTTCCTGAGCTGTAAGCCATAATCATCGCACTTATGACAAATCACGGCTTGAATTATCTTGCTTTGCATGTAGTGTGTCTATCTCATATATTAGTTTCCCCTTTTACATTGCATTACTGAAATCAATGCACTTTTGCACGATATTCTAATTTTTCGAGTATCACCTGTACATTGCAGCTGCCCAAATTGGTTCCATAAGAAAAGTGGTAGCGGTCGGTCAGCTTTTTTTGGGAGATCCTATACGAAATTAAACAAATGGTTTCCCTGGCTTATAGGGAGCGAATGGTTGCCTCGTGCGGCAGGATCTTATCACCTAACAGCACTCTCCTGGCTTGTGAGGAAAGGAAGCAGACAACAGTACAAAGTTACCAAGGTTTACAGGTTAAAGTACCCATCCTCGCGTTCAAGGCACTCGACGACCTCGTACTGCTGCCTGCGTTCAGGAGACAAAATGGACGCCTTTTTCCAAATAACGTGTTTTCAGTTATACGAATGGCGGCAACCCAGAGCAAGCACTTGAGTTTGTGCTTTGTTTGAAGATAACGAGCCAGTGGTGTGGTCGGTGTTCGGTAGATAAAAGTACCGAACCAGGGGGAACAACTTGCAACTTGTGGGAAAAATGAAGATAGCCGACATTCATAACACAAGCAAGGTTTCATTGGTTACAATGGAGAAGGAGAGAGAGTAAAAGTGCACAGATGTTTGTGAATGCTCCTTCTTATTGTGCAGATTATACTGATGGAGGTTGCAAGAATGAATGATGACATAGCTTGTGACTGCAGGAGCCTCCACCCCTCCATCCACAGTGAGATCCGTGAGCTTGTCTTTAAAACCATCTTACAACTTACCTGTTGCCGAAGGGTCCTGCCACTAAGTTTGACCCAGCTGTGTATGGCTGTGCTCACTGTTATACAGTGCTCAGCTGATACTGCATAAGAAACTGACAAGTTCCAGGACCAGTACCAGTACCTGGTGGAATGCAGATATGTTGTCAGACTGTTTTAAATGCTTTGACTGATTTTTCTGGAACGCTAACACACACTATAACAATTACTGCAGGCTGTAGAAGTGATGATGCCTGGAATGTCCCTTTCATAAAAATTCACCTTATAGAATTAATAGTTTATAAATGTTAATATATAATTGCTTGGTGAACATCCCAGTGCAATGTGTCAAGCACCTTTAGATTGTAAGCTCATGGGCAGGGACATCTACTTGTTGTATAGGTCTGTTCTTATTGTGTTTGTCTTTTTCCCCAATTGAACAGCGCTGCAGAATTTGTTGGCGCTTTATCAATGCCAGTAATAATAATAATATGGTTGCAGTTGGGTGTTGGGATGATATACACTATTATTATAAATTGTATGTTTGTTTCTTTTCGAGCTATACATTTTGCAGATAGGTAGATGTGGTTACATTTTGTACTCTGGTGTTTTTCACTTTCAAGTTTGCAGAACAACTATTTTGTTCTTTCTCTCCTCTATTTATACAAACAAGAGGTGTTTGCTATCTCTGGACTCTCCAAAACGAAGCCAAGTGGAAATGATTCACTATATTACAAAAGGATTTATGAATTAAAAATTGTAGGCCTAAATATCTGAGCGTAAATAACAACTGAACTGTAATGTTTTCAGTTTGGCTATTTCAGACAAATTTTTTTTTTTTTTACATTTTCTGGTTCATTTGTGGCAATTACAGTTTAGTACATAAACCTTATGAGAAAATGTGTAGACAATTTGGTGCATGTAATACATTGCCTTCATTTCTTCCCCAGGCTATTTTTTTTTCTTTCTTAGCACCAAACTAAAAAGTGAATCAATCACAGCGGGTGTGACTATGTTAGTGCAGCACATAATGCATGTTCTCAAAACTACAGCATTAATACAACAGAAAACACACACACACAAAAAACAAATCCACAACAGATAGACATAAAAGCAACCAAAGTGCAAAATAAAACATATTAATACAGTCAATGCAATCATCAGGGTGAATTGGATCCTTTGTGAGATTTATTTAACCGGTTGAATATTTAAAATAATTTTAACAGAAAACTGCATCTTTGGGTGAAATCAGTAAAAATAAAAAAATAAAAAAAATGCTACTTTGAATCAAACTAATACAATATTTAAAATTATTTTCTAAATAAACACAACTATTTACTGTTTCCCATAACATTCGACGAAGAATATTGGCTCCAAACACACATCAGAATGCCCTGACGAATCTGCGGTTCTGGAAACCCCCTCTACAATGTAGCGCAGTAAGAATACCTTAGCAATAATAAAAAAAAATATAAATAAATATACTGATCATTTAGAATGACTTTCTGTGGCTGGTTAGTGGATAAACTGACGGTGCAAAGAACCATATTTCGAAAAGACTATTCCGACAGTCAATGTATTTTAAATGACGAATCTGCCGCTGCCTCAAATAAAGCGCCGACTCCATCTTCTGATTTCTCTGTTCTCTGAGAATTGCGCTCTCAACCGCCCTTGCAGAGATTAGCCCCGCCCACCCCCAGGTGCTGCAGCCAATCCCGTAGCAGGATGATTTTTCGAACCATCCACTGGACGGCCTGGAAGACCCCGATCGACCAATGGCAAGGCGAGGCGGCTTCCCAGCGTGATAGGTTGCGCCCTTGGCTCAGGGGCTAGAGGCGGCGGTTGGGGAGGGGGGGATACGCGTAGTGAAGGCTCGGGTGCTGTGCAGTTTAATTCGAATTAAGCATTCGGGGAGGGGAAAGCCCCAGTGAGAGCACGGGGGGTGTTGGCAGTGTGCAGGAGGCCGGCTGTTCGGATAGGTCAGCGCAGTGTCCAGGCAGAGCTCGCTCCGGGTTGGCGCTCCGCCTCTCTCCGGTTTTCCCGCCTCTTTCACTCAAGCCGCTGACCGCCATTAAACCGAGCTATTCTAGCAGCAGGCACGGAGCGAGGCCTCTATCTGTCCTCTCTGCGCTAAGGAGAAGCCGCCTGGGCCCTGTCTCCCCCCGCGGCCTGGTACACAGCGAGCCGCCCGCCCGCCCCCCCCATCTCCGAGACCCGCGCCGACCCTCCGGAGCCATGTCCAGGCCGGTCAGGTGAGTGCCGATACCCAGGCTGGGGCCTAGCCTCCACAGCGGCCTGCCATCGGGACTACATGTCCCATGATGCTCGGCCATCCCGTGCCAGACCCACGTGTGATGCCAATGGTGGATGCTATTGTAGGTGCAGGGATCGCTCGCAGTGTGATGGCCTCACTCCCTCCCAGCCTGGCAGGGGAGAGCTGCTGGCCGTGCGAGCTAGGGAGGGCAGGAGGGCTGCACGGAGCCTGGCTCACACTGTGTGTGTGTGTGTGTGTGTGTGTGTGTGTGTGTGTGTGATATGTTGGTATAATGTGGGGCTCAGCGGGCTGTGTAGCTCTCAGACATGGCTACTTTGTATCAATGAGACCATTGCAATAGACACATGTGGCTCGGATGGGAGATTGCATTGGTTATATTGTGTTTTATTGTGGGGACACAGGAGCTTCTTTTGTTATCCTGTAATGAAACGTGCTGCTGCTTCAGTCTGCAAAATAAATAAATATATATATATATATATAGTGTGTGTGCTATATACCATGCAAAGGGGTAGAAATTGGAGACTATGCGTGTGCTGTGCATTACTGTGTGTGCACATGTAAATGTGGAATGCAAACTATTGCATCTGATATAGAAAAGTACTACGCAAGGTTCGTGCAAAAAAGGCCTACCTTTATAGTTTTTTTTTTTTTTTTTTTTAAATGGGGCATGTGTATGCAAATCTGGGCCTACATCATGTATGCAAGGTTACAGTGGGATGGGCTTGCAGCTGTTCCTGGGGGAAGGGCAAGAAGTGTACACAAGCAAGCACATAGTAAGCGATTTGAAACAAAGGAAGAGTTAATTGCTCACATTACTCTTGTAGCGGATGGACATCACCTAGCGTTTTTAAGGTTTGCTTGAGAATGGGGCTTATACTGTGGCTGAAAGGTCTAATTTAATGTTTGTTAGGTAGATATCCCTTCTCAAGCATATGGTGTCATGTGTTTCCTAAATGTTCTTGTCATTCAAAAAGCTTTACTTGATACAATAGTCCTTCTATAATGATAGAGCATGTAGCCATTCTGTCTCGTGTGCTTTTCTTCTGTGGTTTTGTCTTCGATACATAGTTGATATAAGGCTCAGTATGTCTATTTTTGCAGCCCTTTTGTCTAGTATGTGTCAGTGTTGTATTCACCCTCATACAACACCGGCTTCTATTGGAAGGCATGCGAATGGTTGACGTTTACTGTATAGTATGTTTACTGTATTTTAATATTTTACACAATCATAGGATATCAACCAATAGTGACAAGGTTCTGTGAGCAAAAAAAGTGTCCCAAGTAAAATGTAAAGACATGTTTGCTGGAAAAAGAAAGTACATGTCTTAATCTTAATTTATGGAGTTCATGTAGGCAGCTATTGAATTTTTTTTTAACAAATTTTTCTGGCTATAAAGTTCACATATAATCCTTACTGTACAGTATAAACTTTCTGAGTGTCATTCACTCATGCAACATAAGGGAGTTTCAAACGAGGCAATATTTCTGCATGCTTATACTGTAGGAATGCCTGCTTCAGAACGGTTTTATTGACCTTTATTTCAGTAGGTACTGTTTTGCATACTATTTAAAGGGATACTAATGTCACCAAAATAACTTTACCATAATGTAGCAGTTTTGGTGTATAGATCATGCAGAAAATTGAGCAGTGAGACTGCAGGGGCAATTTAGACGTTAAATAGCTTTGTTTATGAACCCTTGTCACACCTCCCTGCATGTGACTTGCAGTGTCTCCCTAAACACTTCCTGTAAAGAGTCATCTAAAGTTATCCTCTCTCTTTATTGCAAGTTCTGTTTAATTTCGATTTTCATATCCCCTGCTATGTTAAGAGTTTTAGACCATTCAAGAGCCTCCTGTATGTGATGAATGTTAAATTTACAGAGCAGGAGATACACTTGTTTAAGGTAAATTACATCTGCTTGAAAGTGAAACCATTTTTTTTTTTTCATGGAGGTGGTGTCAATCAGAGCCATGGGACATGTGACTAGGGCTGCAGAAACAAATGATATTTTAGCAGTTAAACTTGAGAGCCATGATCTACACACACACAAACTGCTTCGCTAAGCTAAAGTTGTTTAGGTGAATTTAGTGTTCCTTTAAGTAAACAAGTAAAATGACCAGTCATGGTTACCAGAGTCTTGTTTTGCTAATTCACATAACACCTTTGCATGGACTCTTTTGCATTCACGTCTCACAATACCAAATTGGACAGTAATGTGTTGATACAAAAACCCACTAGGGATTAGGTTGAGACAGCTTTTTTGCCATATTTATTTATCCACCCATACAGCTATTATTTGTACGTGTTACCAAGTAATGGGATAATCAAAATGCCAGTCTAGATGTTTTTGAAAGGTATATCATCCTGTCGAACCAAGACAGCTTGGCAGTTCTTAAATACTAATTTTTAACTTTTTTTTTTTTTTTTTTTTCTCTCTTTTGCTTCTTTAAATAGGAACAGAAAGGTGGTCGACTACTCACAGTTTCAGGACTCTGATGGTAGGTTCCTAAAGGGCTTAGTAATAGTACTTATTTTTCAGTTGAAGAATTGGAAGAAATTTTGTGATGTTTGTATAAAGAAGAAATGCAATAAAAAATGCATTGTTATCACTTGGGTGACAGGTGATCTCCAAGGGCAATTATATTAATGGCTTTCCTTAAAACCCATTACAGAAGTAATAATTGAATTACATTTCTAGCATTAAAGCAGAACTTTATCTTCCAGAGAAGCGACAGTTCGCTTTCCTCACCACAATAGAATTATACTTTAACCTTTTGACAGTGTTAAAGGATGGGGGGACCTCTGTTGCAATTATGCTTTGGGCATTCTGAGATTTGTCAAAACTTCCATATAAACTCATCCAGTAATTCCATAAGTGTGAATTTACTCTGTCCATTGTGTCTTTTTATATAGTGCATAGCTCTAAATATTGTTGCATGCTTCCTGCTATGCACTAAATAAAACTCTTATTTTTGAAGAGTACTGGATCTTTTTTAGTTTAATACTGGTGCAGCAATACCAGCGGTCTATACAGCAACCCCATCTTAGTAAGTGCTCATCTACTATGTGTTTACATTAGAATGCAGCCTATCTAGATTTGTCGTACTGTTTATAGGGACACTGTAACATTAGAAATACAACCATGCATTTTTAAGTTATACTCAGCTCATATCCAATGCCATGCTCGTCCCACCCTGGAAGGCATCATCGGTGACTATGATTTCAGCCAATCAAGTGCTTCTGAATAGGAATGCATTAAGGGGGCGCTCTCATGCAAGACCACCATGCTCCACTGATTATCATCTCCTCATAGAGATGCATTAGCTCAATTCATCTCCGTGGAGAGCCTTTTGTAGCTTCATGTAGGCACCTGTTGGCTCTTCCCACAGACATCCACTTCTGTCCGAGGCTTGAAACGGTAAGTCTTGGACAGGAGTGCTGCTGATACGTTTCTCACTTTCTTTTAGTAATGGTAATGTTTCATCTGTACGTTTTTGTAGAGGAGAATACTATTTTCTATTTATTTCAGGAAATCAGAGGGATCCAAACTTTAGATTTATTTTATATAAGCTTATTTCTTTTGAATTTTTTTTTTTTACCTTTTCTGGTATGCATATGTATTTCTACTTGTAAGGTAAAATGCCTTTTACTTCGAATGTTTCAGACAGGCCAACTATTTTTGTGCAAACACTTGCAAGATTTATAAATAAATTCAAGGAAAATGGCACTTTGATTCTTACGTGCCTTACAGATCTCATTCTTGGTTAAGATAAGCATCATCTTGTTGTATGACTGCATAACTTGTGTAATTGGCACTAATTTTCAAAGGAAGTAAAACCTCGGCAGCAAGGCTTCTGCAATTTACTAGCGCTTGCCACCAAGGAACAAGTAGGCAAAACTTATTTGCCTGTTGTAAAAACTTAAATTTTTAGTATTTCCTAAAATTAGTTTGTGTTATAATCTAAGATGTGTATATATACAACTAAAGTTTTGTGATGGCAGCATTTAGGCATGTTTGCCTTCGGATGAGTGTGTTTTTTTTTTTTTTTGTTTAATATTTATATTATTTCTTCAGATGAAGACTATGGAAGAGCTGCAGCACCACCTACTAAGAAATCTCGTGCATCACCCAGAGAGGTCAAAGAAAAGAAAAGGCCTGGAAAAAATTCACAGGAAGAGAGGTTAGAAAGTAACCTTTTTTTTTTTTTTAAATTGAGTTAAATTGTATCTGATACCATTCTGGATCTTCATATAGTCACAAACGTATAGGAATTACACCAATAATGCTTTATACAAATCTATGATTTCTTACAGAAAGTGCTTAAATATATGTGGAGTTGCTGTGATTACTTGAATTAAAGGAACTCAAACATGTATTCCTGACCCTACAGTATTAAAAACATACATCAAAATATCTACAAAAGATTATACAACGGCAAAGAAAGTGTAATATTGTTAAAACGCCAAAAAGTTCTAATGCTTCAAGGTTAAAGGGACACTATAGTCACCAGAGGTGCTGATTGTCCAAAACTGCGTTTTGCTCGCCCCTTGCCGTGAGTTTTAACCCGTTCTAGGGTGGGGATGGGGGGGGGAAAGCCACCTAAATGGTGGGTTTTCACTATAGGGTCATGAATACAGGTTTGTGTTCCTGACCCTATAGTGATCCTTTAACCCTTTAAGGACACGACATGTGACTTGTCATGACTCCTTTTTATTCCAGAAGTTTGGTCCTTAAGGGGTTAAACTCACACATGTGGGTTGTATATTGAGCTCTTCAAAGTGATATAATAGGTGATAATGTCTGTTCAAGTTGATCTTCCGGACATTCAAAGATACATTCAAAGATAAATAATAAAAACCATATTGCAGCAGTTTTAAAAATACACTGCTTTATTGAGGTACACTTACAACATGTACGTGGATAAAATGCCCATCAATAGCATCAGACGTTCTGGGAACTGGATAAAGCCGTCTGTGTTCGTTCACCAGATATGTGTATGTATGTATGTATGTAGTAAGTTAAAACAAATAATCAAAAAAAGTGCAGCACTAATGGGTAAGCCCTGCGCATTTCATCTCAATTCTGAGACTTCCTCAGGGGCATGATCGCTAAAAATACAGACCTGCTGTATTTGAATCCCGAACAATTCTATTTTGGACCGCCATCAGCCAATCCGAATGCAGTCCCCCATCTGTAAATAATATTCATCCGTCTTTATTTAGCGCCAAAAAAAACGCTCAGGAGTCTCAGAATTGAGACAAAACACGTAGGGCTTACCCATTAGTGCTTCACTTGATTTTGTTTTTACTTGCCTCCCCACATACATCTATCTGGTGAAGGAACACATAGACTGCTGTATCCAGTTCCCAAAAATTCTGAGGTTATTGATGGGCTTTTAAACTACGTACATCTTGTATTTTATTATTGTAATATTTCACCCATGGAGGGTATGGTGTGGCTTGCCATGGCAAACAACTTTTGTTTTGTTTTTATGGCCCGTATAGTAACATAGAACTAGAAATTCTAAGCCTTGACATAGAGAAGCATTGTGGATATGTACTCAGCTAATACTTCCACTGGGAACTATATTGCAAAGCGAGTAAGGCTGAAAACCCTCTTGGCTGCCATATTGACAGCCTGGAGTTGTGAGACTAGTGTAAGTCAGTTACCCTCTGCTGCAAACAAGCTAACATACTTAGTGTGTGGAGTGTTCCTTTTTGACCACTTTATTTTTTTTAATCCTATTCACATACAATACACTCTACACTCTGTGGTGCAGTCTGGATATAATTGTCTGCATACCAGCACCATTGCATTTAAATGGTTTTCTTCAGCAGTATTTGATTATAAAAATGCTTTATACAAGTTACAATAGTAGTAGTAGATGGTTTCATTTTGAGTAAAAATAACTTTACTTCACATTTAATTCTTGTTAAATTGTATAGCAACCCAGTTTTTAAAATGGACTTAAATTTCATTTTCAGTGATGAGTCTGAAAAAGATACAAAGAAAACCAAAAAAGAAGAGGACAACTCTGCAGGTAAGCTTTCATTCTAATCTTGTACACTGACATTTTTATTTTGTATTTTTATTTTTTTTAGGACACATGTCCTAGTCTGTATTAGCTTATTTAAGTTCCATGTTATGGTTGTAAGAAAATCAAATGCCTGTCTGCACATATCATCCTACACATGCAGAACACTATGAGAAAGAATAAATCTTTCTTTCTCATAGTGTTTGCAGTTTTTCTATAGAAGACTTAACATTGCTACTGTTATTGAAATTTAGCAAGTATATTTGTCACTGAGACAAATGTATAACTAGAACAAATATACTCTTTAAAACAAGCTTTGTGAAAATGTGTGCACAAGTATACTTAGGGCTATGAGTTTAATGCATAATTGACTTAACCTTAAAGGTGTTATACTGCCAATTTAGATTGCCGGTCCTCCTAAATGTAATTAAAAAAAAAAAAAAATGTAATAAATGGAAACTTTTTCAGCATTGAGACCCACTCTGCCTCCAGTGACATCCCAAAGGCATTCGCCTTTTTTTTTTCTCATCCAATCCAATGTTTTTCTAAGATAAACATTGGGGATGAGCAGAGTCGTGCTTGTCCAATCAAATGCTTCTCAAATGGAAGCATTAAACAATACTTTCCTTGGATCAGCTTTAGAGGATGCTCAATGTCTTCATGTTGTTGAATGTGAACTGACTGTCATAGCAGCGGAAGCACTCCCTATAGTTGTTTTTAGCCTTGCAATGAAAAACATTGCTCTGTCTACAGAGTGGCAATGCTATACATTGCAGGACCACTGCCCCCAGGCCACTTAATTGATTGGTCTAGGTCCTTATAGTGATGGTTTAAGAGGCTGTCTTGCAGCTAATTTGATGCTCAAATTGTTTTAGGCCTATTTAACACGTAACCAGTAATATTTGTAACATTGAAATCACCTCTTATATTTAAAGGGAAGTGCTGTAGGGATTTCTCCTACATATCCTCTAAAACACACAAGCTTGACAGCTTTAGTGTACCTATTGACATCTAGGTTCACACAGTGTAGTGATTCTTCTCATTACTCCTGCACTGGGAAGAAAACCTACTTTAATTAAGTGGTGTTGGCGTTCATTCACCTCACTTATTGGATTGTCATCATCCATGCTATTATAGGCTGTTTGTATGAATTCCCTTTAGCTTTTAATGGGTAAGACGTAAGGAGAGTGAGTAGTCGTACAGAGCAAAGTGTATTTCTTATAGTAAATGTGTGGCATTAAAAAAACACTATATAGGGTCAGGAACACAGACATGCATTTCTGATCCTATAGTTTTAAAAACACAATCTTGCACCCCTAAATATAGGCAAATCTTACCTTTTATTCCAGTCTGCTGATACCGGCTCTGCCTCCTTGGAAGTGTTGATCTCGGTCAATCACAATGCTTTCCCATAGGAAAGGATTGGATGAGATTGTCAATTCTGATGTCAGCAAAGAAGGCTAGCTGGGGGTGGAGCCAAACACCACACTAGTCAATCCATATCTCCTCAATGCATCTCTATGAGGAAAGTTGTGTCTCAGTGCAGTGGGTGGAAAGACTGAATGTCAATGCTGCACACTGCAACACTGCCCCAGGAATCACCTCTAGTAGCCATCTTAGGTGTGTCCCTAGGCTGTAAAGTAAACCCTGCCCTTTTCTCTTGTTCATTGCAAAAAGCCTGCAGGGATGGACTATACTTACCAGAACTACCTTAAGGACACGACATGTCATGATTCCCTTTTATTCCAGAAGTTTGGTCCTTAAGGGGTTAAACTGTAGTTGTTCTGATAACTATAATGTCCCTTTAAGTTTATACATAAATATTCCATAAAAAAATATATATATATATATATATATATATATATACCCTCTCTCCCTCTCTCCCTCCGAAAACCATCTTGCTGTAATTGGGGAGAAAAAAAAAATTCTGTTGAAAGTGCAAGAAACATGGGCTGCTACTTACAAGCATTTAACGATTTTGTTACCTCTTATTAAAGTCCTTTTGGTGACCACTGAGACGGAAAATGATTTAATAATGAGAATCCTTCATAGACATAAGTGTTGTACTCTGGTGCATACATGAGAGTACAGCACTAACTGCTCCTGTGAAATAAAGCACCAGGAGCTGAAGAGGACACTGTGGAAGAAGATGGCAGCTGCTGTAAAGGTTTAGATAATTAGAACTAAACTCTTGTAGGCTGTTTTAGTACTGCAGTGTAAACAGGACTAAGGGGGGGGACAGGGACATTGCACCCAGGCCACTTTTAACTCATTGAGGTGGTCTGGGTGCCTATAGTGTCCCTGTAACGACTTCACAATGTTTATAGGGTATGGAAAAAATAAACACAAACTACAAGTTACTTTTTGATATTGCTGCTCTTCTAAGTAAAAACTTAAGCTATTGGAGACCAGGTTATTTTTCATCACGTTTAGCTGTATTGCAAATCATAGTCTGTTTGCTTTGTTGATTTGAGGATATTTTCATTAACAGAGGCATGTGTTGGTTCTGATAACTTATGAAATTTAAACATGTTGGCCTAGCAAATATAATCATTAAATAAAAAAAAACCAAAACGCATGAATCTGTCTGTCTTCTGATTGCAGCAATCAAAGATCTGTAATTGTTTATGTAAAGGGATGGAGTATACATGCATGAAACCAGTTTCTGCATAATCTTTTTGCTTTTTAACAATGTGAATTGATCTGTATGCATCTTCATTATGTGCTTACTCAAAGATTTCAACTTTTAAACTTGGACTAGTAATTGTTTGTATGTTCCAGGTTGACATGTATAGTAACTAGTTAACCATTGGTAACCAATTATTGACAGATGATGGTCCATGCACAGGCTGAAGTTCTGTCATTTATGAATGTAAAAGATCAAAAAATAAAACCTTTTCTGTTAAAGGATCACTATAGGGAACGCAAACCTGTATTCCTGACCCTATAGTGTTAAAACCACCCCTCATGCCTCCATAAATATAGCAAAATCTTATTGTATTCAAGCCAGAAGCTGTAGATCTGCATGCTGTTTGCCTCAAAAAACAAGCAGTCTGCTGACCTAATCAGAAGTGGTAGCCTCATCCAATCACGGTGCTTCTCCATAGGATTGGCTGAGACTGATTAGGTAGATCAGGGGCAGAGCCAGCATGATTCAAACACAGCCCTGGCCAATCAGCATCTGCTCATAGAGATGAATTGAATCAATGAATCTCTATGAGGAAAGTTCAGTGTCTGCATGCAGAGGGAGGAGACACTGAATGTTTGGATGCATTTTAGGCAGCCATGGCCCAGAAAGGATCTCCAACAGCCATCACTAGGCTGTAATGTAAACACTGCATTTTCTCTGAAAAGGCAGTGTTTACAGCAAAAGGTCTGAAGGTAATGATTCTACACACCAGAACAAATTCAATAAGATGTAGTTGTTCTGGTGACTATAGTGTCCCTTTAAGACATTGTCATCACTTAAAGAGTGACTTTGATTTCTTAAAGGCAGATCACAAGAACTTTGCAAGGGTCTGCAACTACTGTGGCAAAAGACCATTACATGAGTTGAAGAAACTGGCACTCGCGAGGACCAAACAAGGTCAGGCCTGCCAAAAGTGACCTCCATATCTGAGAATTTAAATTAGGTTGCAAGACTGCAAAACAAACTAACTTCCTCTGAAATACAAGCTTAGCTAAATGCTGTTCGGAGAAGATTACTTGAAGTTGTCCTTACTAGAAGAATTGCTAAGAAACTGTTTGGGCAAAATAAAAGACTTACCTGGACTATTGAACACCAAATAAACAAGATCGATGTCGTCATATTGTGGGTTGTACAGTGAGAAATATATCCATCAAACTGCAGAGACGAGTACACAAGTATTCTGCGTGTCTAGTTTTTTCTGATAAACCTACAGGATGTAATGCATGGTTTTACTTTGGTGAAAGAGCTTTGTGGTTTTTTTTTTGTTTTTTTTCTCTCCAGACCAACACATTTCATTGAACTTATTGAAGAGGAACTAGTAACCAAAGTCAATACAGCTTAATGTAGAGGTTCTGTTGTCTGTAGCCAGTCCCTGCATGCTTTTTAACCCCTTAAGACCGGAGGGCGTACTATTACGCTCTATTCTAAGTGGCTCTAAACGCCGCCGGGCGTAATAGTACGCCCTCCGGTCTTTCTGTAATTACCCGGTCGCCGGCGTTCGCGGTTGGGGCGACTCCCAGGGAGCCCCCGCGGCACGTCCGACACTCTGGAAGCCCCCCCGGCCATGTGAGAGTGGGGTCCTTGCGAGGACCCCACAATCACATGGCCGGGGGTAGCTGGCTGCAGCATTGCCAGCAGGGGGACTGCCTGTAATGACAGGTGGTCCCCCTGCTGGCTGAAAATAAAATTAAATAAATTTTAAAAAAAAGTGTTAAAAAAAAAAATGTATATGTATGTACACTGTAGGTGTATTTTACTATTAATATATATATATCAAATTACACGTAGACTGATACTGATTAAATATATATTTATATATATATATATTATTTCGTTCTAACTGTATTGTGAAATTAATATATATCAAAATACACGTAGAACAAATTAATATATATCTATATACATAAATATATACGTATATATATCACTATATACCTATATAAATAAAAATATTTTAAAAAAATTATATAGATATATACACATACGTGTGTATATATATATGTGTGTGTGTAAAATATATATGTAATATTTTTACATAATAAGGTATCTTTAATTACAATTAGCGGGATCTCCTTGACAACCCATGCCAAAAGTAAAGGGAATTTAATTTGCTAGCACTATATTTAACCCTATAACTTTCCAAGACACCATAAAACCTGTACATGGGGGGTACTGTTCTACTTGGGAGACTTCGCTGAACACAAATATTAGTGTTTCAAAACAGTAAAATGTATTACAACGATGATATCGCCAGTAAAAGTGACTTTTTTTGTTTTTTTCACGCACAAACAGCATTTACACGGATGATATTATTGCTGCGATACTTTTTACTGTTTTGAAACACAATATTTTGTGTTCAGCGAAGTCTCCCGAGTACAACAGTACCCCTCATGTACAGTTTTTATGGTGTTTTCAAAAGTTACAGCGTCAAATATAAGGCTTGTGTTTCATTTTTTTCACATTAAAATTCGCCAGATTGGTTAGGTTGCCTTTGAGACCCTATGGTAGCCCAAGAATGAAAATTACCCCTATGATGGCATACCATTTGCAATAGTAGACAACCCAAGGTATTGCAAACAGGGTATGTCCAGTCTTTTTTAGTAGCCACTTAGTCACAAACACTGGCAAAAATTGGCGTTTTTTGCATTTTTCACACACAAACAAATACTAACGCTAACTTTGGCCAGTGTTTGTGACCAAATGGCTACTAAAAAAGACTGGACATACCCCATTTGCAATACCTTGGGTTGTCTACTATTGCAAATGGTATGCCATTATGGGTGTAAATTTCATTCCTGGGCTACTATACGGTCTGAGGCAACATAACCAATCTGGCGAACTTCAATTTCAAATGTAACGTGCTATATATTTGACCCTGTAACTTCCCAAAATGCCATAAAACCTGTACATAGGGGGTACTGTTTTACACGTGAGACTTTGCTGAATACAAATATGTGTATTTTATTGCAGTAAAAGCAAACAGTATTATGACATTGACAGTTAAAATGTCATGTAGAACTAAAAAAAATCAAAAAAATCTTATTTTCTCCCATTATTTTCATATTAAATTATGTTTCATAGCTAAATATTTGATATTAAATGAAAGCCCTGTTTCCCCTGAATAAAATGATATATAATAAGGGTGGGTGCATTTACTATGAAAGAGGTGAATTACTGTTGGACAGACATGTAGCGCAAATGCCAGGTTTTGTTTACATTTTGTTTTGTTCACAACGTGTACATTTGGCTCCGTCCTTAAGGGGTTAATATAAACACTGCCTTCTCAGAGAAAGGGCATTGTTTACATTTGGTGCTTAGTAACACTTCTAGTGGCAGTCATTCAGACATGCAGTAGAGGTGCTGCAGTGTGCAGCACTTAATGTTCAGTGTGTCTACACTGTGCATGAAGACACTAAACATTCTGTCGATTCAGTGCATCTCTAAGGGGATGCTGATTGGCACAGTGTTTTGCTTAGCATGGGCAATAGCCTCTCAATCCATTATATATACACTTTAGACAAAGTAGTAACAACTTTTGTCTCGTGCAGTATTCAGTTTTTGAGGAGATTGTTCAGGTAAAGTATGTCTTATGTTCCACTCTGTTCTTATGGCACCATGATGAACACTGCCTTTGGATTTTTTTTTTTTTTGGTTTTTCTTTTCTTAAATGCAGACACCTGGAGTGATGGAATCATGAGAATTGGTTGGATTGTAGCCACACTAACTGTTAACCAAATAGCCTGTAGATGTGCGTTAATATAAAAGTAAATTGCTGTCATCATGTAAATGAGTACTGTTGTAAAATTTCAGTATGAGAAGGGAAGGTGGATTCATGGATTGCAGGATAAAACTTACTAGGAAAGGTTAAAGGATCTTAACATGTATAGCTTGGAAGAAAGATGAGACAGGGGAGATATGTTTGAAACCTTTAAATACATAAAGGGAATCAACACGGTAAAGGAGGAAACTATATTTAAAAGAAGAAAAACTACCACAACAAAAGAACATAGTCTTAAATTAGAAGGGCAAAGGTTTAAAAATATCAGGAAGTATTACTTTACTGAGAGAGTAGTGGATGCATGGAATAGCCTTCCAGCTGAAGTGGAAGAGGTTAACACCGTGCAGGAGTTTAAGCATGCGTGGGATAGGCCTAAGGCTATCCTAGACTTAAGATAAGGCCAGGAACTAATGAAAGTATTTCAAAATATTGGGCAGACTAGATGGGCCAGAATGGTTGGTCTCCATTTGCCGTCACATTCTATGTTTCTATGTCTGCATCTTGGTGTGTTTTTGTTTAGTTTTTTGTTTTATTACATTACTTCTGATGTTTCTGCACTCCTCTCTGTGTAAGAAGTCAAACAGATTTTAGCAGTACTTTGTAGTGAAAGTCAATAAATGGTCCCGTTTCATAAACCATTATAATTAAGAGGCAATTGTGGCACTACTTATGTATTTGTCTATTTTTATGTTTAATTCAGAGGAAGACATTGGTAGTGACGATGATGTTGCAGCAGGTGATGGAAAAGCCGATAGTGACTATGAGAGCCCCAAAAAAAGTAAAAAGGTCAAAAAGGCTACACCTGACAAGAAGAGGACTCCAAAATCAAGGAAGAAAACTTCCCCAGGTAAAGACAATGCCAAAAATACATAAGTACCCCTTTTGTTTTTAATATATGAATATATTTTTTTTCATCTGCTAAATATAATCCAAACATTATGTTGCTTTAAGATTTAAAGTTTTTGTTTCCCACAGATGATAGTGATGATGAAAAAGATAAACGCAAAAATGTCCGCCAGCAAAGACAAGCCGCATCCAAAGCTGTTTCTAAGCAGAGGGAAATGTTGATGGGTGATGCGGGCAGTGAAGAGGAGGAGCCAGAGGAGGAAGAAGAAGCACAATTTCTAGAAAGTGAGTTTAAAGGGCTTGAAAACTTTGCACTGAACAGCTTGACTTGTTTGCAATGCACTGTTTTTTTTTTTTTTTTCTCTCTCCAGTCAGAACTTACCGTATTTTTCGCTCCATAAGACGCACCTCACCATAAGACGCACCTAGTTTTTAGAGGAGGAAACCCAGAAAAAAAAATATTCTGAACAAACTGTTCCATAGTGTTTCTTACCATGGGACAGTTTGTTCAGAATATTTTTTTTTTCTCCCCTGTCCCATAATGATCTTTAACCCCCCTTTCCTCTCTCCCATAGTGATTGTTAACCCCTCCTACCCTGTCCCATAGTGTTCTTTAACCCCTCCTCTCCTTGTCCATTAGTGTTCTGATCCCATAGTGTCCCCCCCTCCCATTGTCCCATAGTGCACTTTCCCTCCCATAGTGTCCCCCCCTGCCCTTGTCCCATAGTGTCCCCCCTCCCCTTGTCCCATAGTGTCTCCCCTCCCTTTCTCCCATAGTGTCCCCCCCTCCCCTTCTCCCATAGTGTCTCCCCTCCCTTGTCCCATAGTGTCCTCCCTCCCCTTGTCCCATAGTGTCTCCTCCCTCCCTTGTCCCATAGTGTCTCCTCCCTCCCTTGTCCATATAGTGTCCCCCGCTTGTCCTGTAGTGTCCCCTCCCCTCCCATGTGTCTCCCCTCCTTTCTCCCATATCCCCTCCCTGTCCCATGTCTCCCTCCCTCCCTTGTCCCATAGTGTGTCCTCCCCCCCCACCTTGTCCCATAGGTGTCCCCCCCTGCCCTTGTTGTCCCAGTGTCTCCCCCTCCCCTTGTCCCATGTGTCCCCCCTCCCCTTGTCCCATGGTGTCTCCCCCTCCCTTGTCCCATGGTGTCTCCCCTCCCTTGTCCCATGGTGTCCCTCCCCCTCCCCTTGTCCCATAGTGTCTCCTCCCCTTGTCCCATAGTGTCTCCTTGTCCCATAGTGTCTCCCCCTCCCCTTGTCCCATTGTCCTCCCCTTCTCCCATAGTGTCTCCCCCTCCCTTTCTCCCATATGTCCCATAGTGTGTCCCCCTCCCCTTGTCCCCCCCTCTCCCTGTCCCATAGTGTCCCCCTCCCCTTGTCCCATAGTGTCTCCTCCTCCTTGTCCCATAGTGTCTCCTCCCCTCCCTTGTCCCATAGTGTCTCCCCCTCCCCTTGTCCCATAATTACTTACCTGTCTTGGAGCGTGGGCCGGCTTCACAGCGCGCTCCGCGGTCCAGGAACTAATATTTCAGGTTCCGGTTTCCGGCGGGACTGAAAGGAAGTGTGCACACTTCCTTTCAGTCCCGCCGGAAACCGGAACCTGAAATAGAAGTTCCTGGACCGCGGAGTGCGCTGTGAAGCCGGCCCACGCTCCAAGACAGGTAAGTAATTCTTCACATTCGCTCCATAAGACGCACAGACATTTCCCCTCACTTTTGAGGGGAAAAAAAGTGCGTCTTATGGAGCGAAAAATACGGTAAATAGACAATGGAATATTTTATTCAAAATTTTGTTGATTTTAAAATGAATATAATCATCTCATATGTATCTGTAATATTAGCCAGGCTTCTGCAGCTTCTATACAGTGGTCATTGTGCGATCAGTGAATGGTTTACACCTATAAACATTGTATATTCAAGATTCAGTAGGTGTTTTATTAGCTGAAGTAGTGAAAATTTTGTTATTGAAGGAAAGCTACACAAGATAGGTGGAGTAAGCAATGCTGTTAAAGTGAAAATCTTGATTACTGGTTCTTTGTTGCTGCTAGATGTCTTTTTCCTAAGATGTTCAAACCATTGTGCTTTTTACACGGTGTGAGAAAGCAAACCACTAATTTTTAATTTGTGTTTGAACAGAGGATTCAGGCAGTGATGAGGATTTCATGGTAGAAGATGATGACGACAGTGATTATGGTCGCTCCAAGAAGAAGAAGAAGGTGGTTAAAAAATCGAAACCAGAGCGAAGGGAGAGAAAAGTACCTAAGCCACGACTAAAAGCCACAGGTAATGAGTAGATAAAAACACACAATTGGGTCAGCGCTCAATAACAAAAAATACTAAACAAGACAGCAACCTTAAAGGTCCTGGCACTATAGTGTCCTGAGCGTGCCCCCACCCTCAGGGTCCCACTCCCGCCAGGCTGGATGGCAAGGAAAGGGGTTAAACTTACCCTTTTTCCAGCGCCGGGCGGGGAGCTCTCCTCCTCCTTCTCTTCGGCTGAATGTGCATGCGCGTGCATTCAACCACTCTCATAGGAAAGCATTCATAATGCTTTCCTATGGACGCTGGCGTCTTTTCACTGATTTTTTGAGACAGCCACTAGAGGCTTTAGAGGCTGGATTAACCCACTTATAAACATAGCAGTTTCTCTGACATAGCTAAAATGTTCTATTCCTTTTATTAAATTTGTAGCCCGCCTCTGCATTTTTTCAAGTGCCATAATATCCTCTTTTAGAACTAGTGCACAAAACTGCACAGCATGTTCAAGATGTGGTTAACGTAGTTATTAAACTGCAGTTTAAATCTGTATGTTGCTAGTGTTTTGTAACAGGTCTTAAAGTATTGAGAAGCCGGTATGCACAAGTTCCATGAAAGGCTGCATATCCAACATATTCTAATCTGTCAGGAATACTAGTTTTTGGTTGAGACTTTTAAAATCAGTATAATTTATTTAGATTTAGAAGGAAAATGGCAGCTATAGAAAAATATATTTGAAGTACATGTGGGGGGGTCCTTCCATTTGGCCAAGCATATAATCTGTGTATTAACCTTTAAAATGTGCATTCCGCAGTAACACCAAGTCCAGTGAAGGCCAAAGGAAAAACTCGCCCAGTCTCAAAGGCACCCAAGGAGAAATCTCCGTCGCCTAAAGCAGAGGAAGAAGAGGAGGATGATGATCCTGAGACACCCCCACCAGAGAAGAAACCTGCAAGCCCTGCAGAGGAGAAGTCTGGAGAAGAGGGTTCTGATGAAGAAGCTCAGTCCACGGAGGACTAGCCTGTTGTGTTTAGGGAGGGGTGGGTTGGGTATGTGGGTGTGAGGATGAATATTGGGGAGATTTTATTAAAAAATACAAAACAAAAGTTAAAAAAAGAGAAAAAAAGCCAGGTTGGAGATAAAACATGATTTAGGCAACTGCTTGACTCGTGCACCACCAATTCTGTCTTTCATTTGTTTTAAGAGTTACATATGCGCTTTTTTTTTATTTTATTTTTTATTCAGCAGAAGGTGAACCTTTTTTGCCATTTGGGGGTTAATGGTCAGTCTTTCCCATCACCTGTATGAAATAAAGCCATGCACATTTTTAATAAGTTTGCATTGCTAAGATGTATGTCGTTTTTTGTTTTTTTTCTTCTTTTCTTAAATATATATATTCATTGAGGTGTCTAGTTGTAGGATTTCTTTGCTGAAAGTTGAGCTCCCCTATATGTACTTTAGTACTAGGTTTTCAGCAGGTGTTTATGTTCAGTCCCCTTGTTACTTTTTTACCTCGCACTAATGGGGTCAACAATGTTTTGCAAAGTATTGGTATAATGCAGTGACTCTTATGCCTCCTTCATTTGGCATGTTTTTAAATACTTTTGGGCTAATGAAATGGCAATATTTTACTGCGATTGACTTTGTAGAAGGAAAACAGCTTCAACCTCTATTTTTGTATATAGTCTAAGGTTTCTTCCTTTTTAGGCTGTGGACCATCTCAATCTTAGACCAAATACATGTTTAAAGAAGTTCATATAATTTTACTATATTGTACTCCCAGTCAGTATCCTAACATCAATAAAAATCCGCCAAATGTATTCTTCTAGTGGAGATTTTGGCATGCATGTGTAATGTACGTTTGCCATGTTCAAATTCTAGTGATCCATAATGTATGTGTGATGGCAGTGTCTTGATGTAAAACAAAGGAAAAGGGGTTAAATGAATAGCATTTGTGCTTTTACTCTTTCTAGCCAGTTTTGCAAGTGGGTATGGTCATGTTGCCATGATTCTCTTCCCCGCCCCCTCACCCCCCAAATCCCTATATTTTGAACAACATGGATCTCACTGTTTAGTGTCCGTGCCCCACATAGGAATTGCACACTGGTTGAGGGTACATTGTACTTATGAATGTATAACCTTTTTTTAATCTTGGGCTGTTTTGTCCCTTAAAGCCATTTGTCACACGGGATAGAATATATTTTGGAGCCCTGCTAGAGATTTTACGATGCCTAAATCACATCACTTAATTTGATATTCTTTAAATGCTCAACTTTTGCAGTGACTGTAACAATATTGACTAAAGATCTGTATATAAAATCTAAATAGCCTCCATTCATGCTGTATGCAAACATGTAACTTCCTTCTGTTGAAAGGCAATTGATAAAAGTTTGATAACTTTTACCGTGAACATTTGTGACTTTGTTTTTGGGATTATTTTTTTTTTTCCTCCTTCACAAATCCTGCAGATACACTGTAAAGCAGTGATATAATCTTTACTACACACTTGTGCTTTGACTACAATAAATGTTTCCCTAAAGTAAGATTGATTATATTTACTTTTTTTGTTAACATGCTTAAATTACATAGCATTGTTACTTTAGAGGACGTTGCCACCGCAAATCATGCAACATTTTTAGGTTGCTTCTCAAATCCAAAATCTGTGTATTTTAAAATATATCCGTCTTGATGCTGCAGAATCACAAGTACAATTTTCAGGGGTATAACATCACTGAAATACTATCACAGATTATAGGGAAGACTGTTACTCCATGAGGTGGGATATAAAGTTGTATATTTTTATTTACTCAAACTGAAGCTGGGATTCCTAAATTTGAAAAAGTAATACACATTTACCCCACAGCCATATGTGAAATTCTTATTAGATATAGTTTTTGCCTTGCGCACAGCTTCCGCATTTATCTTATGGCTAATTGTCTGCTCCCTGCTGTGGTTCACTGACGCTGGAGAAAAGGAACTTAAAAATCCTAAGACCACTTTCAACCCTCACTGTTTGTCTTAACATGTTTGTGTTTTATCCTGGGACATTGTACAGGTTCCCTTTTTATTGTATTGGGATGTCATTTAGAGGTGTATGGTAGAAAGATCACATTTTCTTTAAAGGGACATTATAGGTAGCAATGTAGTGGTTCTCGTGTCTAGATCTTGACCCAGGAGGCTGAGCACTCTTGATGCTTCCTTTTCAGAGAAAAGGCAGTGTTTTTAAATTGCTGCCTAGAAACCCCTTTAGTGGCTGTCACTTAGACTAGTCCACTGCTGCAGTGTGAAGCACTGGCATCCAGTTTCTCCACGTTCTGCATTGAGATGCTGAATGTTCCTCATAGATATGCATTGGTTTAATAGCCTCCCAATGCTTTCCTATGGGACAGGGTGGACTGACTATAAAGATTATCTGCCATGGAGGTGAGACCAGCAGAGCTTTTTTGTTTTTTAATTGAATTCGAAGGAGGGCTGATCACCTAAAGGACTATATGGTGAGGAATTTGTGTTCCTTTAAAGAATTAGTTTTAGAGTAAAGGTCATGTTCCTGTAGTTTAAGTGCTCAATTATTTGATATTTTAGGAGTTAAATCACTTTTTTCTCTTTATGCAACTTTTCCCTTCAGATCAGAGGCTGTGCTTTACATCTGGGATTTCTGATCTGGAGGGAAAATACAGGCAGGCAACTCCCAAACTTTTTAAGAACCTCCCCCAATTAACCTTTGGACCTATAAATTGCCTCTTACCTAGGACAGCCCCAGTTATTTGGCAGAGGAGTGTGCCAGGTTTGCTCCCCAGGAGTATGGTGAGAGGGCTGAGGCTCGGGAGGCTCAGCTTCTTTTGGGGGTAGAGCCTATGTGTCTGTTCTCACTGCCCCAGCAGGGCGCAGTATCGATAAGAGGGTGTTAGAGATTGTATAAATTCTAGTTACTTTTCTTTGAATAGCTGCTACACAGTAATAAGTGATGATTGGTTCCAATAATCACTAATTGCTACATCAGATTCGGTAATTCCACAGTAAAGTGTTCCTGTGGAATATATTACCAATCATTCACAGGCAGCAAGTCCGGGATTACAATTGGAGGGATTATCCGCTGTATGATATCCTTAGGAGGCTGATTTAAAATATATATATTTTTTTTGTTTTTAGTTAAGTTGCTGTTGTAGCAGGTGGATTCGTTAAATACCTGGATCCCAGCTACAGTGAACTTTTTTTTCTTTTTTTTTTTTCTTTAGAGCATGCAATAGGATTCTAGCGAACACTGTAGACAAAACTACAATTCTGTGGAAATTAACATTATCACCACTTCAACTTGTTTCACTTGATCTCCGTTTCTTAAAGGTGCAGTCTGTTTTCTGCTGAGGCAGAACTTTTCCTGTGCTTCACTCAATGATTGCACATTTTGTTTTTTGTACTTTTAATTTTTTTTTTTTCTAGTCCTATGTTGTCCATTAAAAATACTGGATTGTGCTAGACTTTGTGGGAATTGCAAAATTAAAAGAAATGCTTCATAAAAACTGGTTCCTGCAGAGTTTGCATCAAACAGGTTTTGAAATGCAGTCTGCAGCCATTCTGTCTGCTCAAGCTTCTGCTTCCCAAATACGGCTAAGGAAATCCTATATCATGGGTATTGTCTTACGCAGGCTCTGTATCGGTATCTATGTGAACAGTCTCTTCGGCCACTAAAGAGAGTAGCTTGTATGAACTAGCCTCCATGGAAAAATATTTATTGCTCGTGTTACTGGGCTTGACTTCAAGTTCTAGTACAGCTGCAGGCCTATTGATCATGGGACATTTCCACCATATTCATTTTGTACCCTGCACTGCCATAGATACGGTATGACAGGGTTTGTGTTACTACATAGGTTTATGTGCTGTCTTCTTTTTAAGAAAGAGCTTATATGGCAATTGATGCTTGTGATTCTCACTATGCAGAATGTTCCCAGCCATAAATTTGTAGGTTTTCTACAATACTGCTGGCTAATGGGCACCTAATTGTTTTTTTTTTTTTTTTTTGTACACCAGCACCTAAAGGTTAAGGTGTTTTTTCTACTGCCTAAACAAGGATGCTAATGAATCTTCTGATGAATTCCATTTACCCGTGGTGTGCAGTTCCTGTTGCTTGACAAAGAACAGCTCTGGTGTGAACCTCTTCTCCTGTAGATGAGATGCTAGGGATTCCCCCCCCCCGTCTTTAAAGAAACTGTCTCTTCAGCTTCTCTATGCATAGCACTGTTTACAGGTTCTTCAGTAGCAGAATATTCCAATACTGCTGTCATTCCTTTTTGAACCAGGCAGAAATGGAATGATGCCAGAAGGTTCTTTTCCGTTCTAATCCTCAAGACAATAAACATGTTTTCTTTGGGTATCATAGTCTGAATTGACTTACTAATGGTTTTCTGCAGGGGAGACCAGCCGTATCTTACCATTGATGGAATTAGGTTTAAATCAGAACCCAGCAAATATTCCTAACTTTGACTTACAGCCTATGGCCATACCAGTCTGAAAGTGCCTGATCTCGTCACATCTCAGAAGCCATCCAGACTCTGGCCTGGTTAGGACTTGTATGGGAGACCAACTAGGATCCTCAGGTGCCTTAATCTTAATATTGCATTATTATTCAGAACTTTTACCTTTGGTATTCTTCAGCAACCAAGTGTTTTCTAAGATTGTTATTGCAGCAGCCTCTATCCCATCGGTCATTTGGGAAAAGGCCAAAGGAGACCTCTTCAAAGAAGCACTTTCAGCTTCTGGTACTAGCAAACGTACAACTTGATCATACCTATGTATCACGTCATGCATGCCCTGCAGAGTTTTTTTGTTTTCTGGTACACCTCTTCCTGCTTCCGGCAGTCTGGTGTTTTGTTTTTTTTCTTTCCAGATGAGGTCGTTCAGAATTTTTTGTCTGATGCTTTGGGTCTCAGCTGGGGTTCTCATATGGGTGATATGAAGAAACAAGAAATTTGGCTGAGAAATTTGAGAAGCTTATCCAACTACATAGTTATGAAGGCTATCTGGCTCGCTCTTGTTGCCTTTCAGATGTAGAGCAGGTATTATGTCCATATCTGGTCAGATATTGCTATAACTGTAGCATTTATGTACAAACAAGGTAAACCCATTTGTAAAATCTTTGTTCCAGTATATGCTGTGTTCAGTTTTCCTAATTTTAGCAGTTGCCTTGAGTAGTCATCATTTAATACGAAGCAGGATGACTTCAATTAATACGAAGCAGGAAGAATTGTTACCCAGATATAGACCTTGGGCTTCTAGATAAAAACCGTAAACCTGAAGTGTTTCATCTTTTGGACAAGCTTGGACAGACCACAGGTCTTTGTTTCCTTTTCTTTCTTTGGAATTCCAGCCTAATCCTATAGTTTCCTCCTTGTTCCCTAATCCCCAGGATTCGACAGGATGGAAATGGTAAGAAGGATCGTATTCCTCACTTGGTGGCCGAGTAGTTGTTTCGCTGTTCATCTGAATTTAACGGGATGAATCTTTTGGAAACTTCTGTCAATAGACATCCTGGAATACTCCATAATACCTCTTTTCAACTTTGTAGTCATTCAATCTGATGACCTGGTTTCTGAATACCAGATATTAAAGGATAATGTTTTGTCTCATGAATTATGGAGATTTAGATTTTTCTGTCAAATGGAATAAATCTTGGACCAAGATCCAAGTTTGGAAGGTGTTTTTGATGTATTGGTTCAAAGAAAATCCGGTAACCGCTTCCATATTTTTTTTTTTTTTTTTAAACGTCTTTAAATTCCTTCTGATGGGCTTTGCAGATGGATTAAATCCAGATATCCTCCACGTCCACATTTCGGTTATCCGTTGAATTTTAGCGGTTTGTCTCCGTATTCTTAAATCACCAGAATTTTCAATGCTGTCTCGGGTGGTTCCTACCTTCAGGGAATCTTTCCTCCAAGGGGTCTTCTTTGGGTTTTTCAGCTCTGCTGATGTTGAGTCTTCGCTCAAGGTCTTTAGCTCTGCATTTCCCCCCCCCCAATTTTTAGCAGGACAAAGTGTTGTTTAAAGGACCACTCTAGGCACCCAGACCACTTCAGCTTAATGAAGTGGTCTGGGTGCCAGGTCCTTCTAGGGTTAACCCATTTTTTAATAAACATAGCAGTTTCAGAGAAACTGCTATGTTTTTTAATAATAAGTTCCCCTTCTAGCTCAGGTGCTCGTTGCGTGTAACTTCTCAGTCAGACGCAGCATAGGAAAGCATTGTAAATGCTTTCCTATGCGACGGGCTGAATCGCGCGCAGCTCTTTCGCGTGCGCATTCAGCCCAGGAGGAGGATCGGAGGAGGAGAGCTCCCCGCCCAGCGCTGGAAAAAGGTAAGTTTTTAACCCTTTCCCCCTTCCAGAGCTGGGCGGGAGGGGATCCCTGAGGGTGGGGGCACCCTCAGGGCACTATAGTGCCAGGAAAACGAGTGTTTTCCTGGCACTATAGTGGTCCTTTAAGTTGGATCCTTTTAAAACTTGAAGATCTTCCGTCTATCATTAATTTGCCAACTTTTCACAACAGCTTTCTAGGGCCTTAGAATTCAAATTCCACTGCCTGGACGTTTAGTTCTCTGCTGCGGTACCTTTAAAAGCCTAAATCGACCAGCCTCTTCTACAGGATCCAGCCAGAGGGTAAAGGTCTGCATTTGTTTGGTTTTGTTTTTTCTCTTCTCATCTAACAACTATCTCCATTGAAGCTCCTTCAATCAGAGCAATGTTCACATCTTATCTTGTGCCCATAGGGCTTCTGCTATACATGCTCATAATTTTCTTCAGCCTCATGCTGAATTATTCAATTTAATTGGGGGAGGTTCTTAAAGTTTGGGAGTTGCCTGCCTGTTTTTTCCCTCCAGATCAGAAATCCCAGATGTAAAGCAGTGCCTCTAATCTTCCGGAAAAATAAATTTACGATAAGTAAAAAAATTTTTTTTTAATCTGGCTTAGTCTCCACGGAAAAAGTAAATGGTTTAATATTCAATCTGACCTTAACTTACTTAAAAAGTTCTTATCTCCTGCTCTGTAAATGGAATTTTACACGGCAGGCTATTAAGAGAGCAGGAGATCAGAAATTCGTCAAACAGAATACCATACAGTTCTATAGGTTGAAAAAAAGATTAAAGTCCAAGTTAAACCTTGAAGTTTAGACATTAGAATGCTTTACAGGGAGAGTTAAGAATGGCTGTGCAAGTCACATGTGGGACTGCATAACCAAAGTGATCTAACTCCTAAATGGCAGAGAATAGAGCAGTGAGATTGTGGGGATATGAATTATACACCTGAAGTTGTTTTGGTACCTATAGTATCTTTTTAGAGGGAACAAAGTTGTATTCACTAACACTATAGTGCCTGCTCCCCACTCCCCCGATTAAAAATCCTTTATTTACTCTCCTGATTCCAGCACAGATGACTCTCAACGCTCGCACGGCGAGCGCATTAGACTTTCCAACAAGGATATCGCTGACGCTGGATGTCCAGTGGCGTTAAAGGGATGTGCCTACAGGTGTTTCCTGGGTTAATGGCAGGCTGATTGTTCAGAGTAGCATTTTGCCCTGTGTGTATTGGATTGATTTAGATTGTCAATTCTGATGATCTCAGCTGAGCGGACGGAGCCAGCACCCACAGAGCTGTGCTGGAATAAAAGTGACTTATTATTTAGTAGGGGACCTAAATAGTGTTTTTAACACGAGTCAGGATTACCCATTTGTGTTTGTTTTTTTCTTTAAGGGCTTCACAGGAGAGGGAAAAAAAAAGTATAATTGTAGCACTTTTGTTGGCAGCATAACCTATAATCTCCTGATTTGCAGTCCTAAGCTTTATAAAAAAACCATTTAAGGCAGTAATTCCATGAAATAAATTTAGGGAATAGGGTGCCCTATAGTGTTTCTTTAAGCGACATTGCCCATATTTGAAGTAAAATGCATGCTGAGAATATGTTCCATATGTTGTAAGCTGGAATAAATGGGCCTAGGAGGAGGGACAGCTGGTCGTTCACCCTGCAAGTAGTAAGTGGAACACCTACACGGAATGTGATGTGTTCTATATCAATCCCCCATGTTTAACTCTGCTTACTCTGGGAAAGCAAGTGGAAAATCAGAGCCTCATAAGGCAAAGGCAATGCAAAGTTTAAATATGAACATAGAATGTGACGGCAGATAAGAGCCATTTGGCCTATCTAGTCTGCCCAATTTGTGAAATACAGTGGTACCTTGGAAGTCGGATTAAAATTTTGCGTAAAAAAAAGTCGTGGTCGATCCTCAGTACTCAAACACATCATGCCACAAACATGTTCAATTAGACACATTTTAAATGACAGAAGAACGGTTGCATACCCCCATCCAAGAATATCATCTTTCCACTTACGCCATCAACTTTCATCATTACAGGTAAAGTGAATTGACAATTTAATTTACTGTACATTGTAAATACCATAGAATGTGATGACAGATAAGAACCATTTGGCCCATCTAGTCTGCCCAATTTTCTAAATACTTTCATTAGTTAGTCCCTGGCCTTATCTTATAGTTAGGATAGCCTTATGCCTATCCCACGCATGCTTAAACTCCTTTACTGTGTTAACCTCTACCACTTCAGCATCCACTACTCTCTTAGTAAAGTAATACTCCCTGATATTTTTAACCCTTTGTCCCTCTAATTTAAGACTCTGTCCTCTTGTTGTGGTAGTTTTTCTTCTTTTAACCCCTTAAGACCGGAAAGCGTACTATTACGCCCTATTTTAGGCGGCTCTAAACGCCACCGGGCGTAATAGTACGCCCTCTGGTCTTTCTGTACTTACCCGGTCGCTGGCAATCCCACGCCGGCGATTGCGGGTGGGGGGGACTCCCAGGGAGCCCCCCGCGGCACGTCCAACCCCCTGGCAGCCCCCCCCCCCGGCCATGTGAGAGTGAGGTCCTTGCGAGAACCTCATAATCACATGGCCGGGATAGCTGCCTCCTGCATTGCCAGGTGGTACCCCTGCTGGCTGGAAATAAAAATAAAAAAAGTTAAATAAGTGTAAAAAATAAATAAATATATACTTCGATTTTATATATATATATATATATATATATTTGTGTAAGGGGCAAAATAGCCGTATATGGAGTAAGGATCCAGCATAAGCTTAGGATAGTATAAAGGGAGCAAGTCGGTTGTGGTGTGCCGATACCGACGATACGGTAGGCCTGTAAATAAAGAGGGCCCACCAAGGAGTAAGAAAGTAAAGTAAATGGAAAGAAAAGAGAAAGTGTTGAAATGAGGAGTGGGTGGGAGGGTCATTCTGATGCTGACCTCAAGCGATATGAGTCAGGTAAGGGGTGTCCCTTATATAGGGGAGTGAATTAATTTAAGCCCCTCCCACAAATACAGGCAAAACTGCCTTAATACTTGTGTAAGGGGCAAAATAGCCGTATATGGAGTAAGGATCCAGCATAAGCTTAGGATAGTGTAAAGGGAGCAAGTCGGTTGTGGTGTGCCGATACCGACGATACGGTAGGCCTGTAAATAAAGAGGGCAAAAATGAATAATCAAAGATTTAATACAGTCAACAAAATATATACAAATTAACCAGACATTTCCTTAAATGCATTACAGTATTT